AAACCTTCAAACGTATGGACGTTTTGCGCCATTACCCCATATTAAATTATATAACATACAAACAAATATTTTTCATTGTTGTAGAGTCATATCAATCCCAAGAATTACGTTTCATTCATCTGAACTGCTATTTCATCTTCTTCATAAGGCAGCCCTACCTTTGCAGTATTGTCGTCCATGAAAACCCTCGTAAATTCCAAGTAGACAACTTTGCCCATCTAAGAAAGTTGTGAATCCACATAATCGCGACAACTGCGGTTTGCACTTTGCATGAATAGTTTGGCATAAGATCTAAAATTTTTCATCTTTATTTCAAAACACCAAAGGCACGTTAAAACACATTTTAGGAGATGAGTGTTTGTTATTGAATCTCTCTCGATCACGCCTAAGACATGTAGTTTCGTCACAAAACTATTGAAAGTGATATAGTATATCGAATTCTTTGGAAGGTGCCATGTAGCGCGGTTGATGCACAAAATCAACCTAGAATAAGGGGTGCTAATCTGGTTCAGACTTATGGTGAGTCGGACTCTGATTATAATTTAGATCAGATATGCACTCCATATTGTAATATATTTCTCAATATACAGTCCTTTTAATATATTTCAAAAATAATATTTCACGTTCATTTAAAAATACGATTATATTTAACGATATCAGAGATAACAGCATGGAAGTAAATTATGTGTCTCCTTTTTGAACTTTTTGATAGTATTGCATAGGCACAATTGACGGAATGCATATTAAAACTTCATTGCTATGCAAACAAAGACTATTTTATTGGATGTAAAGGGATCCATAGACAGAATGTGCTAGCTTCTTGTGACTTCAACTTATGTTTCATATTTGTATTGTCAGGTACTACCATTAATGCACGTGACACTTGCATCGTAACTCATGCACGAAGAAGATGAAATGACAGTTCAGATGAATGTACCTGAAATGTAGCGCTCTTCGTAGGATCGACTACGCAATTGTATGGCTCAACACCAGTGAAAAAAATTTATATTTTGGCTATATAATTCAACCATGTATAGGGTCATCGTCTTTTTTCCTTGATAACCAAACGGTATAAACAAAATTTAAAATTCTACTCCACATAAATAATATTGGATGTTTCTACTGATTACGACTTGGAAATATTACTTCCAACATTTTTTAAGGTTAAGGTTTTTTTATGTTAACATAACTTGCGCTTGTTGTTTAGCGTGAACGGCATCCACAAAGAGAGACAATTTTTTTACATCAACTTCAAAAAATTCAAGATTATGAGTCAAATGCAAATGCAGATTTCAATGAATAAAATTGTTTAGAGAAGAAGGGCGAAATGGAGTTTTCACGTTTAGCCATTATTGTTAACTGATTCTTTCTTTCCTTGGTGCAAGCATACTTTACCATTGAAGTAATCAGTATGGGTCCACATGATTTGACCCAAAAAATTTATTTTTTCACAAAAATAACGCGCCCATACAAGTGTTAATTCAGAAAAAGAGATGACTCATAAGCACCGATTATATGATACATCAATTATTTGATGAATGAATTCATGGTAGGAACATGAATTAAATCCACCAATTAATTGATTTGTCATGTCAGGTGCTTAGCTTAGGGGATCATCTCTCTCTATATATCTTGATCTCCTAAGCACCAATGACATAACATAATAATTATCAACAAACCTAATCATTTAATAGGACTTACCATTATTTTCAACTACATTAATTTACACACATGTTAAGTTAAAAACAAAAATATTTGATGTATTTATTAAATGTGGGACCCGCCATTATATTACATGAATCTACAATGGGATATAATTAATTTTATTATTTGGAATAAAAAAGAATTAATTTTATTACTTGAAATAAATAAATAAAATCAAACCACATATTACAATATGTACTAAGAGACTACGAATTAATATAAGTTAATAATTGAGGCAACGGTAAAAAACGAATGCTTCTTAATCCGCTTGCTTTCTTCTTAGAGAAGAGAAGAGAAGATGTCAACATTATGTGTTTCCTCATTAACTATAAGATTATCCAAACAAAAACTGATATTATGTTGTTGGGTTTATAGATATTAATTTTAATCAAGGATTAGTTGTTTGTTTTATTCTTTATGGGGGAGCTTTTGAGAAAGTTTAAATATGTTATTCGAATATATATTGAAGTTTTGTTAATGTTAGATGTCTAGATTTAGCTTCTTTTTTTTTTTTTAATTCATTCCAATAATTATTTGAAATTCAAATGTGTTAATTGTTAGATTGAATTTCACTTGAAAATCATAGCACCGAGCACCCATTTAAAATTTTCTAAGGTAATTGAGAAATTTACCCACATGGAAAATAATTTTATTTTTTATTTTTCAAGTAATAAAATTAATTCTATCTCATTTTAGTTCATGTCAAATAATGGTGGGTTTCACATATTTAATAAATACAACAAATATTTTTGTTTTAGCTTAACATGCGTGTAAATTATTGTTGTGGAAAATAATGGTAGGTCCCATTAAATGATTAAATTTGTCGGTAATTAAGTATCGGTGCTTAGCATAAGCTAAGTATCGGTGCTTAGGAGATCAAGACTATATATTACCATAAATCAACATTTATTAGTACAATTCAAAGACAAGATGCTACCATTCAACATAATTTTTTCTATTGCCAACTTCTAGCCCTTCATATAAGTTTTTTCAAGTATAATGAGGGAGGTTTCCCAAGATCAAGGAATTTGTATTTTTACTAGGGGTGGATATTCTCGAAGACACGGCATCGGACTGCTTGATTACAGTTAAAAATTTAACTGGTTTGGTGTCTTAGAACCGAGAACCAGACAGTTCAGCCAGATTCTAGTTTCCAATAGGACTCCAATATTAATTTTCTATAATCTCTCGACTAAACCAATCTATAATTTACTTTATATGAATTATTATTTGTTCAGAATAATCAAAGCTTTTGCCATGGAAACAGAAAGCAAGAAAATGAATTCAGAATACCTTCCATCAAGACATGATGAGTAGACATCAATTATAAAAATTATAAAGGATAACATCAGTTTTAAATCTGTATCCTTTTTCATGAAAACTAACTTATTAGGAGATTACCACCCCCAGAACTGTCACAAGGTAAATTACTAGTATAACATGAAACAAGCTACTCAAGCAAATAAATCACCCTAGAAACTTGAAACTGAATTGTATGGCCAGTTACCATACATGCACAAGATATGTAAGTTACTAGAGCTGATAAATAGTAAATGCAGACAAACTTACACGACTTGGAGGTATATGCTTCCCACTTAGAAGATCCAAAAGGACAGTCCCAAAGCTGAAAACAACACTTTCTGGGGTAACCCTCCCTATATAAAAAATTTCAACACTATTATTCTTGTAACAAGATTCTTGAAAGAAAATAAAAAGATCAACAATCATTTCTTTTATCACACGTATCTTTTATTTTGCCACTGTTTGGTTTAGCTAAAAATCAGAATTTTGATAGATTTTGATAAAAATTGATGAAATGTGTGGTTCGAAAGTTGATAAAAGTTGTGGAGCCCATGAAATGTGTGGTTCAAGATGAGTTTGAGGGAAAATGAGTTTTAGAAAATGGGGGCCAAACATGGACTTAATTTGTTGGACCTTATATAACAAGGTAGCTACAAAATTATTTTGGGTGATTGGCATGTGAAGCTGCCTCAGTGTTGGAAGCTACATCTTTTTTGGTTGTTTTTGAGTTATTTCAAACTAAATGTCTTGGTTTTGAAATATGTATGGGGCCAAACAACTCAAAGAGAATGCAAATTCAACCCCATTTGGGGTAGAATGGAGTTCCAGGTGGGTGACATTTCAGCAACTCTTGAGGCCTTAATGCATCATTAACCATGACAGTGTTTTGCATTTTGATTCTTGATTTTCACTCTGTAATTGGTGCTTTTCTTCTGGCGTCCTCTCGCCTTAAATTCATTTTTTCTAACGTCCTATTCAATCTTAAAAACGTAGTACTGCTATATAAAGAAAATTGGACTGCAAACATAAACCATCAATTTTTTTCCTCAAAAAACACCATCTGAAGAATGAAAATTAATTTGGGGAGATCAATAAACAACGCACATATTAGGTAGGGAAAAATTAAATAGAGGGTAAGAATAAACAAGTACCATTTCTTAGATACTCTGGAGGTGTATATGCAAGATTTGTGCTGTAACTTTTACCATCTCTGCTATTCTTCATTAATCCAAAACAAGAAAGCCGTGGATCACCATTCTGCAAAATTACCCACCATATTACCAATTTATCCATTAAGACCTAATGCCCCTTCATAGAACACTTGATGGGACAAACAAGATTAACATAGCATAGTCAAACAGTTCTATTATCCTATGTGAAAAATGTTCAACTTCAACGAACAAAAAGGGAATAATTAACCTCGTCAAAGAGAACCCTGTAGGCATTTAAGTCATGGTACAGTGGGCGATCCTCGCTGCTGCAATAATCTAATGCTTCAGCGATAAAAAGAGCTACTCTTAAACGCATGGCCCACTCAGGGGTTTGATTCTCCCCTGTGAAGAAAGTGCAGAAGAACAAATCAGGTGATAATTATAGAAACGAGGAAGACAACAAGAAGTTTAACATATTAGACTCTGCATACAATCAAATTGATCACTGCAAAGAGGCAACCATTTGGACACTTGAATTGAGAGCTTAGGTAGAAAGGATTCCTTCTCTCCCACCCCCGCACACCCCCTCCAGAGAAATGGTAAACAAATGAGGAAAGAGAAAAATTACAAAAAATGGATCTTATTCCCTGATCTTCTGCAACTGACTGACTCACAAGACTAAACAAAAACTAACAAGAAAGTTAGGTTCTAATCCCAGTATAGTTTCTTGACATATAATGGATGTTGTACCTTCCCTTTTTTACTAATTAGTGGAAATATCTCCTCCCTTCACCTCTTTTCTTTTAGACACCTTTTTTTGGGAGGTCACGTACCATCCCCCCCTCCCTGTGTTGTATATTTCTCTTGCAATAAATTCGTCATCCTTGTGGTGATTTTGGAAAACAGAGCAGGAAAGTAGAAAACACAATAAGCATCATATAAAACCTAGCATAAATAAATTTCTATATATTTGAGGACACCTGTTGGCACTGTAAATCATAGATGTCATCGCAGATGAATAAGAAAAAATGCCTTCTCAAGTTTGGGTACAACACACACAAAATGTCAAGATTCCCCACTTGTACAGTACCATAAATTTTTCAAAATAGCTCCTTTGCACATAATTTCATACATGTTACTACACATTCCAAAATGAGCGTGATCTAACTTGGCATAATCATTGTTAAACAACGAGTTTAACACATTACATCCTTTCAGATTACTAAAAGATAATGAAAGTACCTTGCAATTTTGATACCGTATGTTTTACCTTTTCTATTAATGAGGATCATCTTCTGAGCATTCAATATTTTAAACACCTCTAATTAACAAATACGAATAATGTTTCCTAACAGCTTAAATTTTCAGAAAGTAGGAAAATTCCGTTTTAGAACAAGTTTACCCTATGACTTTCACAGATCAATCATTGGTTGTAGATAAACCTGACGCTGATACTTGAGAAGTATAGTCTTCCAAGATCGAAACATGCAAACTTTTCAAAAATATATCTACAAAATGATGGAAGTTTTAGCTCTCAAATTGCTACTTAAATCAAATAACAAGCTCCTCAGCATAGAGAAAAATCTCAAAAAGAAAAACCAAAAACCTCATTAAGTTAGCACTAGCATCATCTCATACCACATTACGGCTAAAAAGCATAAGAGCTAAAAAAAACCCATGTCAAATGAGGCTCTGAATAAGTAACTATTAAGATCATATTATCGAGTAAATAGGTAATACATTTAACTAGTAATGGATATGGCTGGAATTTATGAATCGCAAAAGATTAAAACATACAGTGAAATAAATGCTTGGCAAGCGTTTCATTGGGCATAAATTCCGCCACCAGAAGCCTCTCGTCCCCATCGCAACAATAACCTATTAAATTGGCCAGCCTTTTATGCCTCAGCTTCCCCACTTCCCTAGCTTCCTCCTTTCAAATTAGATAAAACATAAATGAATAAATGGAATAATAAATAAAAACCTAAACTGATGTGTCAAAGTATCTAAACACACTGCGAACTGTTTAGGATCAGGCCAGGCCATTTTGGTGAATTTCTTCACAGCGATCCAGCGGCGGTTCTGGAGGCGACCTTCGTAGACCACATTGGGAGCCTTCTCCCCGCTCTCCGATACGATTTTGTCAGAGCTGAAGTTGTTGGTGGCGGCTTTCAGCTCCGCCAGTGAGTACTCCACAAAACTTCCTCCGTCGCGGGCAGAAGAAGTGTTGCCATTGACGGAGGAGGAAAGACGGTGACCGTGGTGGTGCCGATGATCGTTCTCCAAGCCAGGCTCGTACGTGAGNCCGATGATCGTTCTCCAAGCCAGGCTCGTACGTGAGAGACGAGGCGCAGCACCCCATGATTCGGTGGAGTTGACTAGGGAGAATACTCCTACTACCTTACAAATCACCCCTCCCCAAAACCAAGGAATTACAGTAATTTTGGTTTACAAATGATAATCACTATGTTAATTTTCAGTTAAAAAAAACTGTCTTTATTCATATGAAGACGAGGTAGTATTATATTCTTATCTCACGTGCTCTTCGGATTATGAAGCATTCTTGCGTGTTTTGGGGGGCAGACAGGGATGATGAGATGTATGGAGGGCTTGTTTGGTAATACTTCAAATTTAATTAAAATTGAAAATATAATCGTTATTGGGTCTCACTTGTCTAATAAAAGTCAACAATAACGGTTAGTTTTTTCATTTTAATCTGATTTTAATCTTTACCAAACACACTAATTTGAACCCAAGGAAGTAAAAATGGTAAAATATGAAGTGGAAATTTTAATGGCAACTGAACTTTTCAAATTAGAATAGGAAGTTTTTATAGTCCAAATTAGGAATTGAAATCGAAAACTTGGTACCTGATTCGAACTTGACTCTTAAATCGAAGTTGCCTTCTCCAAGCCAGGCTCGTACGTGAGCGACGAGGCGCAGCACCCCATGATTCGGTGGAGTTGACTAGGGAGAATACTCCTACTACCTTACAAATTACCCCTCCCCAAAACCAAGGAATTACAGTAATTTTGGTTTACAAATGATAATCACTATGTTAATTTTCAGCAAAAAAAAAATTGTCTTTATTCATATGAAGACGAGGTAGTATTATATTCTTATCTCACGTGCTCTTCGGATTATGAAGCATTCTTGCGTGTTTTGGGGGGCAGACAGGGACGATGGGATCCAGCGAGATTGTTTGATAATACTAAAAATTCAATTAAAATTGATAATATAATCGTTATTGGGTCCCATCCGTCTAATAAAAGTCAACAATAACGGCTATATTTTCAATTTTAATCTGATTTTAATCCCTCCCAAACAAGCTCTTAATATGTAATGAATCAATCTATTTAAAGAAGATGCAAACAACATATTGAGCGTGTTTGGTAATACTAAAAATCCAATTAAAATTGAAAATATAACCGTTATTGGGTCCCACCCGTCTAATAAAAGTCAACAATAACGGCTAATTTTTCAATTTTAATCCGATTTTAATCTCTACCAAACACACTCTGAATTTGAACCCAAAGAAGTAAAAATGGTAAAATATGAAGTGGAAATTTTAATGGCAACTGAATTTTTCAAATTAGAATAGGAAGTTTTTATAGTCCAAATTAGGAATTGAAATCGAAAACTTGGTACCTGATTCGAACTTGACTCTTAAATCGAAGTTGCCCGTACTTAACTATGGAACCGAATTCTCCATTTTTTATAAGTTTTTTATTTTTTTACAATTTATTCATTCTGGCTCAATAATCTGATGGGATGCAAAGAAAACAATGTGATGGGAAAAAAAATCGATAATATTGACTGTTATTCTGTTTTCATGTGAACAAATTTATACTGTTTTTAGTATTTGTAGAATCTAGTATATATTATTAGTTTTTAGTTTTTGGTTTTTGGTTTGTTCTTTGGATAAGTAATTCAGTTTTTATGTTATGTTAGTTATAAGATACTATTTTGTAACATATTTTGATAGATATTAGATGCCATTTAGTGCTATATTTATCGTTAATTAAGAAAGTGTTGAAATATTCATTTGGTGACATAGTTTTGTTTTTTATTTTATTTTTGTTAGACATTGGGAAGACAATTTATATTTCAATTCAAATTTTTTTAGATTTAATTTATTTATAAAATACTCGAAATGTAATAGATGATTTCAGATATTGAAATACCTGAAAATGAAATAATCCAATCAATGTCCAACATAATTTAAATTGAATTTGAAGTTCTGAAATTGGAGGTTAGGTGGTAGAAAAGATTGGATTGGAGTAGTTTGACAAATAGAATCAAGATTCATGTAAATCCTTATGATTCAACCACGGCAATTATAAGCTATCATCAAGAATTGAAAGGATTAGGTAGTTATTATTCCCAAAATTATTTATTCTAAGAAGTAATTCAAAATTAAGATAAGAAATCCCAACTACCTTAAAAGAGAGGATCCATCCTCCACTGTTCATTCTTGAAACCGAGGCTTCTGGTTCTAATTTGGTTTTCAACTGCCGGCACCAGCTCTTCAAAACTTTCTTGATCCTACTGCAATTTTCTGCTCTTCATTGTGTTATTCAAGCGAGACATAGTTTTGCTCTTTAATTTAGATTAAATGGAATCAAAGGGATGGAACAATTTTTAAGAAAACTTTGAATTGCTGAGAGTAAAATTAAATTGAAACAATACTTTTTAATTTTATTTTAGTTTATAGTATTGGAAATTCAACATTGAGCTTAAATAATAGGATTTCTATAGTTCAATTGTTAAATTCTCCTTATTCTTCATATTGGGTCAGTGGCAGAGGTTGAAGTTTTTCTATTGTGTGTCACTAGAGGCGTATCGTACCTCCATATTGCTATTGTGAACCAGTTCCTTGTTTATGGCTACTCCGTGCGGATTATTGTTGACAATTGAGGTCTGTTTCTAGAATTATTTTAGTCATGGTTTGACAATTACATTTTATGGCCACTATTTCTTCTTGAATTTTATCTATGTTTTTCTCCCTTAACCATTTCATTTCATTTTCTTTTATTTTCTTTACATATTTTTCTTATTTTTCTCTAAGCTCTCAATTCTAGCTCGTTTGTCTCCCCTAAATTTCTTCCTCATAATCTTCGTGTTCCAACTAATCTCACTTTCGATGAAAAAACTAAGTAAAGAAATATTTACTTTCTGAATTTCAATAATATTAGTTTAGAAATTGTATGATTGTGTGTAATTTTTGGTCAACGAGGATTGATCGTAATATATTGATTTGGGTTATAGTATCATTTGAAGGACGTAGTCGAAGCATTCAAAAGGGGAACTTTTTGATCAATTGATTTCTCGGATCTAGTGCGAAGGATGGTGACTTTATTTAAATTTTGTTTTTGTGAGGTCAGAGGATTTTTATCTTAATTGTCAAATTTTCATCGGCTGTAATCTGGGTTTCTTTTTTCATTTTGAGATTCAGTTGAAATTGGGGAAAAAATTAGGTTTTGGGTGTTGGAAGTGCTATTGGAATTTGGAGAATTATTAAAATTAAATCAATTGCCATGGAACATGCTGCGAGTGGAAAATTGAAGCTTGAGAGGAAAATAAAAATAGCAACAGCTTCAATTTTTTGTGCAGTCATTCTGATTCCAAATGTTTTTTCATGACATTTCCATTGGACATTGTGTCAAAACCAATGAAGTGATATATGTAACTGTTAAACATTTGTTTGCCAGGTTACTTTGTTCCCTAGAAAGTAGTTATCAAAAATCTTATAACAAGTCGTTGGAATATGTTGAGGGATTGATCAGTGACCAAACTTTACATGCTTTACTTCTGCAGCTACTGGGAGAGGCTTCATCAATGTTATATATATTTTTTAGTGTGTATTTCATTTTCATAATTACTGCATGCATCAGTTTGTGCATCATCACTTATATGTCGTCATTGAAATTTACTTGCTTGCTAACCTCGGTATTCTATCTGAAATTATTCAAGTTGAAGATCATGGTCTCAGTAGTAGCTTCTTTCCATTCATAGTTGTTGAGGATGATGTTTGCACTGAGATCTGTACGCTCGAGAGTAAAATAGAATTGGTTGTGACAGATTCATTCCTCCGTGGCACTGAAAAATTAGAAGCACACAATCAAGCCATGGATTTCATCCATGAAATGGGATGGCTTCTTCTGATAAATAGTTTGAGGTTTAGGTTGGGGTACTTGGATCCCAACTCAGATCGTTTCCCTTTTAAACAGTTCAAGTACCTCGTGAAATTTTGTGTTGACCATGATTCGTGTGTGGTTGTAAATAAACTCTTGGACATTCTTTTCAGTGGAGTAGTGGGTGCAGGAGAGCAGCATTTTCCTTCACCGAGCGAGCAAACTTATCAACGAAACAGAAGTAAAAAAGCAAGTAAAAATAATTATCGCTTATTGTTATTGTTATGTCATGTTTCGTCAAGGGCAGCCTATTTATTCTTTGCCATACAGAGGCTATAGTTTCGTCCTTCCGAAAGGACTTTGTCTTTATTTTCTGATTTCCTTCATGTAGAGACAAAATTTCCAACATTTATATTTTTTGAGGTTTCCATCACAATTTTCGTAATATACATTTGGTCTTCTCGGTTGATGGTAATTTTGTATGTTAAATACTGACTTCGCTTCCCAAAAACTCATTCAACGTACATCTCTTGTGAATCGTTGATATTTAACACTAATATTACCTTCAACAAGATTCAAGCCATGCATTGCATGCCCACAACACTAGTGATAAATATAAAATCAGAATTTCTATATATGAAATTTGTGAAAAAATGTCTACTAATTCCTACGTGGGAGAACACATTATATTTTTAGTAAAATAAATTACCTTTCACTGAATAAAGTAAAAATTAATTGGGGAGGGAATTCTCTTAATTAATTTGAGTTGAGAAAATCTATTAATCACAATTTTTTGAAAAATGTCTAATATTTTTTGCGAATACCCATAGTGCCTTGATATGACTGGGATGTTATTAGTGACAAGACTTGATGCACAATACTTTTTAATAAAAAAAATACTAATGTACCATCCTCGCTTTTAAATTTTTTTAGAATTTCATAAAAATAATGGAATGTATGATTAAAAATTATGGATCTCATTAATGTGTTGTGAAAATTAATTGCTAATTTTAACTTAAATTTTAATAATTTTTTAAATAAATCAAATAGGAGCATTATATTAGTGATTATATCGAATGATAGTAACTACCTTCATACATATATGAAAAATATGAGTGCGACAAGGATAGAAAATATCAAACGAGGTCTATATTGATGTTAAAAATAACAATTTGGACATACAAGTTCAACTAGCCTGTGGGTCGAGATTACATCATAAACAGCAGGTGATCTATACTTCGGGTTTATTTGACATGACTTTTTAAAAGTTAAAATAAACTTTTGAGACCCAAAAATAACTTTTGGATTTATTTGGCTAATTTTATTAAAGTGTTTTTTTAGTTATAAGAGTTTTTAGATGAAGTTGATCCAATATAACTTATTTTAAAAGTATTTCTAGAATAGAAAATATTTTTAAAAATTAATATTCAAATAAAAAATTAAGATAACTTTTTTCAAGTCAAACCAGAAGGGATCTTAGTCCAACATTCCTTGAAATTTATGAGGACCATTAAACAAACCATTAATGTTTATAGAGTAATGCTATTAATCCCCACTGGGATTACAACCTATGACATTAAATGATATGTGAAATCAAATAAGTCATTTAATTTCACATTTCATTTAACATATCATTTAGAAACACATAGACTGAGGTTACAATGGAGCTACATAGCATTACTCATGTTTATAATAGAAACTTTTATATCTCATTAATGCCGAAAACTTCTTTTATTGGTGCATCTTGGATATAGTGCAAAACTTTGCTTGGGATTAAGTTTATTTATAAAAAAATAAATAAATATTCTGGTAATTAAAGTGAATAGATATATTTCATTACACAGTGCTTGGACAAACAAACTTGCATTGCTGGATTACTGGCAGAATATTTACTTTGTTCTTAATTAGTGGGATTAAAATCAGATTTTTAGTAGATTTTAATAAAAATTGATTAAATGTGTAATTGTGTAGTTGTAGTTTCCATACAATATGTAGTTAAATTTAATTATTGACTTTAATTTAAATTAATCTGAATTGTAATCCCTATCAAACATGGGCTACGTGTATAAGTGAGAAGATGAACATAAGAAGAGGGGTAGGCGAGAATATTCGTGCAAAGGTTAGAATAAATTAACTGCTTGATAAGTATATTATGCGCTTATTTACGATCTGCACTTATTTAGGATCTCTTTAGTTAATTATTTAGGGTTAATTGAGTGAACATCTACTTAATTTTGTGTAAAATATATTAATTATAGGAAAAACCCCAATTTGAATGCACTTGGATACAATTCAAGTGAAATTTGAGCATCATTGGAGTTGATTTGAAGTACTTGGAGATAAACCGGATTGAAATTGATCAACTAAAAGAGTAAAAATGTTAATTGAGCCATAGGACAAAACTTACATATTTTGGGAGCTAAATCTAATATTTAAAAATTTGGAGACTCAATTGTAAACTTCCGAAATTTACATCATATCAATAGTTAATGATTGTAGAATGTCAAGGATTAAATTGTGAAGAACTAAAGTCGAAGGACCTTCTATACAATATTTGAGGATAGGAAAATAAACAAAACTATGATTTAGGGACCAAAATGCACAAAGTGAAAATTCGGCAACCTATGCGATTGCACAGAGTAAATGAGGATGTGATTGATAATAAAGAAATTGCAAAAACAACACCTAGAGTATAAAAGGAATGTTATCGCAGACCTATACTTGTAAAAACACACAATTAAAGTTCAGGGGGCTAGAACTCCTATTATGACTCAAATTCCAAATCCTCACACTTTTGGGCACGAACTTTGACCTAAATTAATAAGGTCTATAAAAATGATATCGATGAAAAATAAAAGTGAGGCTCTTTACATTAGAAAATCCATAATTCTTGTAAAGAGAGATTGCCTACCTTCACACATCTATTTTATTTTTATTTTTTGGATTGAAGAAGAAGAAGAACCGAAGGGGTTGATCAAGGATCCTTTAAGAGATTCAAGAACTTCAAGATTTCTTTCCATCTTCTTTCCATTTATTCAAGGTATAATTTGAATTGTGTTTTGTGATTAATTTGATGCTTGGCTAATTTTATAGATGTTAGGATAACGCTAAACCTTAATTTCGAAGTTTTGATATTTTATTTCACATTTTGACATGAAACGTGTTAATGTTTGAATTATTGTTAGGAACTCAATCTTTTTTCATTAAGTAGCTACCAATTGAATTATCTTGTGATTTCTATTGACATTTGAAATAAGGAATAGGAATTTGGCACATAGTAATAATTATTGTAACGTTCGATAGAGAATAGAAACACACTGCTATGTGTTGTATAATCATTTAGATGTTCTTGTGATTTAATGTTTCTTTACATGTTCGCATATTTCATACAGACATAGGAATATCATATGTGAGGATAAATTTAGTTCTACTTGAGAGAGATTACTAATCGAATTAAGAACATTGATCTTCATATTCGTGCGTCTAAATCATGATTTGATATTAAAATGGATGAAAGTAGGGGAATTCGTGGTTTATCAATTACTTGAGCTTCATAAGCTTCCAAGTTAATTAGCTAGATTAGTTAATTTAGTATAAATATTATATTGATAATACAAAAATTATCCAAAAACTGATTGTGCTATTCAATTAAGGTTGATTTAAGCTGCACGTAAAGGTGCACGGTTCACAGGGATCTCACAGGTCCCTCACTGTAGTGGGTGGGCCTCACCTGTATTAAAAAATAAAAAAATTATGCGGGCCCCACTGCTGCGTGTTACCTGGCAGGGACCTGTGAAGCAGGTCCCTGTACGTGTAGACTCTCTCATTAAGGTTGGTGTTTATTAGAAACTAGATTAAGTACTTAGTCATATCGGGATCGACACTTTACTTATTATTTATTACTTGATTACGTTATCGTTATGGAATTTCATCGATTAAATTTTTGGCGTCGTTGTAGGAGATAAAGTTGTTTAATTAGTTTTCAGGTAATTCTAACATTAGTTTGAAATTCTTTTTCTTTTTTAATATTTTTGTTTTTGCAACTGATGTACTTGTTTTTCTTGATTCATTGACAGGAACGAAGCGAAGAAAAAGACAATGTGTGACATTGAATTACTGAAAATAACATGACGATGGGAGAGATTGTGGCACTTAATCACTTTAAACTAAAGAAGTATAATGATGCCAATAACTTACCATTGGGAGTATTATGGGGATTGTTGGACTGCTATGTAAAAAGTGTGACCAAAGTTAATGAATATAACGTACTTATGGGAGACTACTTTGCTATGCAAAGAATGAAAGTCCGAATAAGTTCGAATGATGAAATGAAAGCATGGGAAGAAGCACTCAAAAGATTCGCAGACACTACGTCTCAATTCATGTAAATGACCGAGATACGCCTCCAAAGTTAACAAGAATATATCAATAACTTGGAAAATCAAATAGGTCGTTGTCTAAAATGGTCTCCGAATGGCAGCTCAAGGAAACAACAAATTGAGAAGAAGAGCACAAAGAGATCGAGAAGTTAATCATGATGGAGCCCAATGAATCAATGTCATTTAAAGAAAATGAAATTTGTGCACTATCTTCCGATTCCATTGATTTTGTGTTTAATATTGAGGAAGAGGTTAAAATTTTCAAAGTTGAGTTCAAATCAAGTGGCATAAGCAAATCATGCTAATGCTCCTATGGGGGATCTCTTCATTATTAATGAGGAATACACAATTAACGAAGAAGAGCCATATAGAGTTTGTTATTAAAGTCGATGAGGGAATCGAAATATTCGTCGCAATGTTCGAAACACGTGGTGGCAAATCAAATGATGTGAAAAATGGAAAATTAAGATTTTAAGAGGTGCCAGAGAGGGAAATAGTGAAAAAGAATTTGAGGTTGGCCTTTCACTCCTCTTTAATCACTTGAATTTTGGGTTGTTTGTTATTTTGTTGGATTGGTAATTGGTTAATGAAGTAAATGGAGCACTTGGGGATTAGAGTGGTAAAATATATAGTTTAATTTTAATTAATTAATTTAATTTTTGAAAGTAAGATATTTTAAAATTTGAAAAAAAAAAAAATATGATAAACTAAAAAAATATTAATGTAATATAGTTTTTTTTCCTTAAATATTATGCCCTTCAACTTGACATAATAACGAACATTAAAATGTTAAAATCAGTAAAATATTTTAAATATTTAACTATACAGATATATATGCACTTGTAATAAAAAAATTTTTTGGTGCCCCTACAATGTTGAAATTCTGTGCGGTTGTTCAACTTGCGCACCTTTAAGGCCGCCTCTACATCTAATTAACAATAATGCTACTAACAAGTTATTGCATAAAAGTATTACCACATTCTTTTGTCACTTGACGAGGATGACATTAAGCTCTTGTTTGTCTAACCATACGGCCTCATAATAAAATATTTTACACGTAATTTCAGAACTCTTCTTACTTTTTAACCACAAATTTTCCAAAACTTCACTATTTCAAAACTCATTTTCACTTTATAATGGTAGATAAACAAAGGCTAAGACGAAAGGTGAGACAAAGGAAATACCGCTTGAAGAAAGAAGTAAGGTTGGCTGTTGATGGAGCTGGGCCATGAGTTCCATGAACAAGACTAGAATTGATTCAGCCGTTTTAATAGCATTTACTCCTTCCGTCCCATAAAGATTAAGCTTTCATCTTCACACAAATTGGAAAATTTAATTAATATAGTTAGAAATATAATTTTTTTCTAACATTTTTCTTAATATATCCATACATTGAATAGGAATTTATTAGAAAACTAAATAAAAGAAGATCACAACCAACAATGACTAATTTTTTTTTTTTTTTAACAAATCAATGATTCCTTTTGGTACCACGTCTATTACATTAATATCTTAAAAGTTTTTCAAGATCACAAGCAACCCCCAAAAAGTTTGGTGACAAATAGACATTTCACCTGTCAAAAACTTTGAGAAATGCGAAAGGAAGATTTGTAAGACTATGTTTGATAGCCATTATTTTGCCTAGACCTAGGAAAATAATTTCAATTTTCTCCATTTTGACTTGTTTGATCGCCAATAATTTTTCTAGAAAATATTTTCCCACATGATGACTCACCTGCCCAAATTCCTTCAAATTGATTGGAAAGCATTTTCCATGTTTTGCCAATTTTTTTTTTTGTTTTATTTTTTGGTAATGTTAACAAATTTCGTAACCAATTATAAAAAAAAATTTCAATTTAATAGACAATTTCTATATAAAACGAAGCCAAACGAACACTAAATTTCGATGAAAAAATAGTTTTCAAGCAAATTTTTTTTTTTTTTTTTANTAAGATGAAAAAATAGTTTTCGAGCAAATTTTTTTTTTTACTTTTTAGTAACAAATTTCATAACCAATTGTAAAAAAAAATTTCACTTTAATGGACAATTTCCATGTAAAATAAAGCCAAACGTGAACAAAAAAAAAATCCAAAATTTCAAATTTTTTTCCGGGCTGAAAATTATACCAATCAAACACACTTAATTAACAATTCTCTGCAAAACAATCTCTAGGCAATTACTTTCCCTGAAAATCATTTTCTTTCTATCAATTTTCCACTATCGCAATCAAACGCACCCTAAGTTCTATCGTCCTATGTAGCAAATTTTAGGATTATTGCCTAATTTAATGGTGATAACTTGTACGCATTGATTCAAAGAAAATACCCTTTGAAATTTGATGCTATCTACTCATCTGCAAATGAAAGGAATAAGAGGCCTAAGTTCACGGGTTTATGTTGCAAATTATAGTTAGGGTGTTTGATTCATCATATTTTTCATGAATTTTCCAAGTTCTCACTTTTTTGTTGTTTGGTAGCAAAAATTTTCTTGGAAAAACCTTTTCCACCTACCCCGCGTGACCACTTTTTCATCTTTTAATTGAATTGATTTTCCCGCCACTTTGGTGGGAAAGTGGTTTCCAAGTCTTTTTTGGAAACAACTACTACACCCAATCATAAAAAAAATTCATTTAATGTACAATTTTCGTGGAAAACAAAGTCAAATGAATATCAAAATATTCAAAATTTCAAGATTTTTTTCAAGTGGAAAATTATACTAATAAAACACAATTAATTTAGAATTCCCAGGATAATAATTCTAGACAATTCGATTACCTGAAATTCATTTTTTTTCCACCCAAATTATACTCTTACAACCAAACGGACCCTTACGGAAAATTACCCCAATTCCTACTACTTAAGTTTCCGTTTCAAAAATAAGGAATTAATATTTTTTTAATAAAAAATCAGGTGTAGCCTATCACATCCACCAACAACCCTTATCACTTCGTCTCCCTCTTCATCGCCAACAACACAACCGTAAGACCGGTGGTGCACGATGGCCAACTGTTACCCCCGCCTTTGAAGCCCATCGGAACCTTCAATGATGGCAGAAACTTGATTTGGAGAAAGCAGCTCTGGCAAGCTATTTTGCTCGAATAAGAGGGATAGCCTCCGCCGTGCCTGGCCGCGGTTTCTTCGTTGGCAGAGGGAAGCAATTATGTCGGCTGAGGTTCATTTTCAAAGAAGCAGATTGATTAATTTATTGATTCCACCGAATGAGGGCCATGGCTACATTTAGAGGCAAATTTTAGGAGCGACGCCACCAATTACGAGGAAGGATAGTCGTGAAGGCGATGGTGGTTGTGGATTGAAGGTGCATTGTGGTGGTGGTGGTCGGGTTGGAGGTGGTGATGGTTGTGGATTTGAGGAGCCCGCATTTTGGGTGGTGCGGAGATTGGTGGAGGTGGTTGTGGCTATGGATTTGAGGAGTACTTTCATGGACAAGTTTCATGTAAAATAAAGTCAAATAAATACAAAATTTAAAAATTTTTGGGTCGAAAATTATACCAATAAAACACACTTAATTAACAATTCTCTGCAAAACAATCTCTAGGCAATTACTTTTCCTGAAAATCATTTTCTTTCCACCCATTTTCCACCATCACAATCAAACGCACCCTAAGTTCTATCGTCCTATGTAGCAAATTTTAAGATTATTGCCTAATTTAATGGTGATAACTTGTACGCATTGATTCAAAGAAAATACCCTTTGAAATTTGATGCTATCTACTTATCTGCAAATGAAAGGAATAAGAGGCCCAAGTTCACGGGTTTATGTTGCAAATTATAGTTAGGGTGTTTGATTCATCATATTTTTCATGAATTTTCCAAGTTCTCACTTTTTTGTTGTTTGGTAGCAAAAATTTTCTTGGAAAAACCATTTCCACCTACCCCGCGTGACCCCTTTTCCATCTTTTAATTGAATTGATTCTCCCACCACTTTGGTGGGAAAGTGGTTTCCAAGTCTTTTTTAGAAACAACTACTATATCCAATTGTAAAAAAAATTCATTTAATGTACAATTTTTATGGAAAACAAAGTCAAACGAATATCAAAATATTCAAAATTTCAAGATTTTTTTCAAGTGGAAAATTATACTAATAAAACACAATTAATTTAGAATTCCCAGAATAATAATTCTAGACAATTCGATTACCTGAAATTCATTTTCTTCGGGAAAATTACCCCAATTCCTACTACTTAAGTTTCCGTTTCAAAAATAAGGAATTAATATTTTTTTAATAAAAAATCAGGTGTAGCCCATCACACCCACCAACAACCCTTATCACTTCGTCTCCCTCTTCATCGCCAACAACACAACCGTAAGACCGGTGGTGCACGATGGCCAACTGTTACCCCCGCTTTTGAAGCCCATCGGAACCTTCAATGATGGCAGAAACTTGATTTGGAGAAAGCAGCTCTGGCAAGCTATTTTGCTCGAATAAGAGGGATTGCCTCCGCCGTGCCTGGCCGCGGTTTCTTCGTTGGCAGAGGGAAGCAATTATGTCGGCTGAGGTTCATTTTCAAAGAAGCAGATTGATTAATTTATTGATTCCACCGAATGAGGGCCATGGATACATTTAGAGGCAAATTTTAGGAGCGACGCCACCAATTACGAGGAAGGATAGTCGTGAAGACGATGGAGGTTGTGGATTGAAGGTGCATTGTGGTGGTGGTTGTGAATTGCAGGAGAATGTGGTGGTGGTGGTCGGGTTGGAGGTGGTGAACCAACACCGATACCTAAACTCCTCGCGGTGATGTTTTGTATGGTTTGACGATGGTGGAGCGGAGCGGAGTTAAATGAAGAGTGATTGTGAGCAGTTAAGTAGATAAATTGGTAAATAATTTGTAACCCATTATATATGTGCTTTGTGATTAAAATAAGTGATTATAATGTGATCGTGATTACAAATTATGCGTTATCGTGAAATTTAATTAAATTATACATCACAATATTTTATCCAATGTGACAAAATGTGATCACTTGATTTTTGAAAAAAATTGCTATTTTTGAAAATGTATTATGAAATATTTTTCCCTTATAGTTAGTTACCATTGAATTGTCACTCCATGCAAAGGGAGAAGCCCATTTCAATTTCAATAACTGATATGCACAACATGAATATTTGTTGTTATTAGAAATCCTTCCTTTAACCTTCATGAAAGAAATACTATTTTCAAACAATTTAAATGTACATTATTCATAATTTTTATAATTTCATCATCGCGTAAAAAATTCGCCATTTCTGTAGGAATAAATATGTTATTAAGGAATATTATGCAATAATGTAGATATATGTAAAAAATAAATTCTATAAAGAACCCAAAAAAATTTACTCTGTGAAAGTTAAAGCCATTCCCACATTTCTCATTTTGCTCCCTCATCTATATTTCAACCCGAGCCGACAAATCTCAGCCACCGGTGGAGACTCCCAACTGGGCGTACGATGTCTCAACTTCTCGAAATCATTGACACACTGCTCGATTGTGAGAGCCAAAACTTCCTTCCTTGCGGCAGCTAGATTTTTCCTGGCTACCCTATCGAATACTTTCTCCCACCCATTTTCCCATTTATCATGGGCATCGCAGAGCTCTACTCTGTTGTTGGCCCATTCAGTCCAGCTCCATCCTTTGTCAAGCCCACTCATTATAGGCCCAACACACGACCCAGTACACACCGGTGTACAAGGCCTGCATTTAGCACCACTTAATGGGCCTGGGCTAGACAGTGCTGCCACGGGGACACCAAAACGGGCCGGGGGAAACTCATATTGACGATCTGTTACTATACAAAACGGGAGGGATTTGGTAACATAAGGTACCTTTCGAGTGGTGAGTTGGGCCTTGAACGCGGTTTCCGAGTTAAGTTGGGTAAACCCGGCTGAGTCAAGTTCGGGAACTAGTGAAAGTCTTGAAAGTGCAACGATGGAGCTGTTAACATCACCGATGCCAAAACGGTCATTCAGGCCACCATAAGAGGAGCCTGGTGGAACTAAGTACTGACCAGGGATGAAGTTATCGGGTGCCAATGGTTTGGACCAGTAGCCATCAACTCGGGTCCGGATAATCCAGTCATAAGTAAAGTTGTTCTTTTCTTGGTAAGATTTGATCAATGTTAGACATCCTTCTACCAGATTGAAATATTGCAACAGGCCCTACAAGGAGAGAGAGACATTGATTAGATGAAATGACATGTACGAAAGAAACCGGTCACAGTTCAAGGCCATGATCATGAAATTTAGTAGTTCTCACACCCATTGTATATTTCCATCAAGATTTTGATGTAAAAACCTACTCAAATGCTTAACGTTTCATGAATCATGCCACATGTACAGGGGTTTGCCAGACAGTTTGACAGAATGTCAGGCGACAGCATTGCATTAGTCTGTTTAAATTTGTTTTTAGTCCGAATTAAGCTAAATTTACAGAAAAATGGTTCACAAGGCTATTACAGGCTCCTTACTGTTGGGGGCCCCACATGTATTTTTTTTAAAAAATAGTGCTGTGCAGGCCCCATCTTTGTGTGATGTGTGGCTATCCCCTGTGAACCTGCTGCCTGTACGTGAAGCAGCGTCCTTTTAGTCCAACATCCAATGCAGTTAGAATCGTGCTACAGTGCCCGCATGGGTGACTGCGGGGATGACCGCGCACACACACATGGGGGGTCGGCATTATTTTATTCATGTGGGACCCCGTCACATTACCTGCCTAACAAGATATAACCTGAGATCCGAAAATAAGTTGGATAATAAATGTAAACCAAACAAAAACTGAATTCCCACCCTTCCATCTACCATTAACAACTAAGAAACACAAGAAATGAAAATTTCAAAAAAACGTGAAATTCTAATATCCACGTTGATCAACAGTAAAATCTTATACGCACCTTAGTCTTGAGGCTGATAGGTTGGTAACAAATTTTATTCTCGAGTGCATCGACAAACTTACTCATCGCGCTGGTACGAATTTGATGGGCTATTCTTGATAAATTTAAAATTTACAGGTTTTTTTAGCTAGCTAGAAAAAAAATACACAACCCCATCTAATTGGATTCAACCTAATGCCAAAAATGGCTAAGGATACAGCCAACGACTTCTATTTCACAACCAATAATAACTACATGTTTCACTAATAACTTAAAATAATTAAAAAGGAAAATAACACCAATATAGTATATATTATGAGTAATGCTATTCATCTTCACTGGGGATACAAACACAGTGTATGTGACTCTAAACGATATGTTAAACGAAAGGTGAAACTAAATCTTTCATTTAACGCCACCTAGACTGTGTTTGTAACGAATGAATAACATTACCATTTGAATTGCGTCATCTTTAATTAAACTCCTTTAATTTGCATTAATTTAATGGCTAATATTAATTACCTTTCAATTTGCTTATTTTGCAATAATAAACAGAAGGGGACAGAAAATAGTAAAAGCACCTGTATGCCATTTGGCGAGTTCTGAGAAGTGAGGACTCGGAGCTGTGACTCAGTCTCCGGAATTGGTTGCGGCTGAAAGATTTTCACGGCGGCGATTCTGGGCGCCTCCTTCAGAAGCGTAAACTTGTAGGCATTCGAATCCAACGGGCTGTGAAGAAAGAGATCGGAATTATTATACACTTTGAGAATCCTCTTCACAATGGACGGCCCGGTGAGCTCGAATCGCCGGGCTCCACCCACTAAACAAACCGCAATTCTCTGCCCGCTCTGCACATTCACAGGCTGGGTCTCATTCTGTACATCATGGTGATGGTTGATGGGTTCGTAGCTGTTGAATATGGATTTGAAAGGGGCCAAATTGGAAAACGAGACGATCACAGTGGTGGTGGTGTTCATTGGCGAAAGAGAAACATACAGAAAAAGTGAAACGGGTAAAAGGATTAAAAGCAGTAGCCTCCGGTCAAGATCCGAGATCCATCTGGAGAATTGCACCAAAATTTTTGTTGGGTTTTTAACGTAATTCATCCTGCTCGAAAAAATCAAATATTATCTTGGGTTTTGTACCTCTGGTTCGTCGGCATTAATTCGACAGAGAAAGTAGAACAGATATACATACACAAAATATACATATATAAAGAGAGGGAGAGAGTACAAAGTACGGACTTTTCAAATATTCTGATTTTGGAATGTTTCTTGATCTTTTTTCTCTTTGCTTTCAGTTGGTTCGTTGGAGGTTTGAATGAATTTTTTAGGGTAAATTGATGAAATTTTTGGTTTGGAGAATTAAGGCGTATAGATGTGTATATATTGTTATGTATAAGTTTGAAAGAGAGAGAGAGAGACAGTGATAAATTTGTTGATAATTTAATGAGTAAATTATAGTAATATGATAATCTTTTATGTTCATATACAAGCATTTTTGGAGTCTTTACTAATTATCTAAATTATAAAAAGATATAAATGAGTTATAAATAAATAAATATGACTTGTGAATTTATCGAATATGTAAATAAAAAGTGATTTTATAAATCGTTTATTAACATGAGCCAATTACTGCGGATGTTTAAAAAAAAATGTATTTTTATTTTTATTTTTAACATAACGGCTTAAATTTTTTTTATGCGGTATTTGTTTAACATAAGGTTAACTTTTCAATTTGTCAAACTTTAATTTTAATAATATATTTTATGACATTCATAATTTTTATTATTTCAACCATATATTCCATCAATTTTTATCAAAATTTGCTCAAATTTTTATCTATTGCTTTGGTAAATTGAGATGTGATGGCTAAATTATCTAAATCCAGATTTTTTTATTTAGTAATTCTATTAATCTTTAATTAATAAAAAAAGCGTGAATCTATATGGTAGTGAGCTGTCCAATTAAATTATAATGCATTTAAATGCAATGAAAAATAAATAAGAATGCTATATAGTATCCCAACTTTATCGCACAATTAAAGATGGGTCTTTACATTCGGCTAGATTGGTGATGAGTTACATTATTCGACAATACTATTTATCATTACAGAGCATCATTATCGTGTTTGGTTGATATTGCATAATATGTCCAATAGCACGAGTCATGTATCCCAATATTAGGTTGAATTTTTTTTTTTTTAATAATTTGGAATGTTCGGATCAACTTGTGCGCATCTCGACTAATCTCACAGATCCCTGAAGTTTACGGTCGAATATTCACCTAAGTGGTCATGAGGGGATTCAAATTGGTGACCATTGAGGAGCAAACCCAATATCTGACCAATTGAGCAACCCCTCAAGATTGGTTGGATGTTTAATTCAATTTCATTACCTTATAAGACAGAGTGATAATCGTTATTATGATTTCACTGTTACCTAAATGATCGATATATTAGGAGTAACGTTATTCTTTTTCTATTATTGAGGAGTAAGTATTGGACAAATACATAATTGTATTGCTAATTAAAGATTAATGAGAGAAATCGATAAGAATGGCCGTAGAAGAGAGGGAATAATAATGAAAGCTTGTGGCAGCGGACTTAAAAGATTAAATAATGAATCATAATCAAGATATGGTTAGACGACATAAGTCCTTGTACCCATGTTAGGTAACAGACTTTAATTATTTAAAATTAAGGTTAAATTACTGTTTTGACCTTTTATAACTGTATTTTTGATTTTCTATTTTCGAGTGGTTTGTCATGTATATTTTATTTACCACCTACTTAAGGTGGAAAAAATCCGTGGCAGAATAAATAAACAGAAGGATGATTTTAAGTAAATCTATTTTTATAATATATAAAATGAAATGTAATTGTATTCACTCGTCATATTAATTGCATTAAATGTTCTTAACTATTTCCACACATCTCTAATTTTTCATCGCATTCTCAACATCAATCTTTTATAATTAGAACATATTATCTTCGATGATTTTCATCCTAAAACTTTGTTAGCATGCTTTGAAATAAAGGTTAAATATCTAGCGGGAGAAACAAGTAAAAAAATGACCAAAATGGAGAAAGTGATAGTTCAGGGACTAAAATGAAAATACTCTAAACTTATTTTCAACCTTGTGATAAAGATTCGAGAGTATTAAATGTCAATTGGATGAGGAAATGAGTCAAAAGGATCGAATACAGCCAAAATATTACCACATATCAACTTTTAAGTTGAAAAATTTTGCACCAGTTTTCTGCCTCATATTGAGACTCTTTTTTGACATGGTGGACGATCAAATTGGAAGTTGACATCTGAAGCAAAGTTGTAACACTAGTTTCGTCCTTTAACTATTTTTTAACACCTATTTCGTCTTTCATCTCCTTTTACACCAATTTCGTCTTTCTTCTCTATTTCGTCACCAATAAACAGGAAGTTGATAAGAAATAATCAAATTATGTCCTTTAACTATTATTTAGCACTAATTTCGTCCTTCAACTATTCTTTAAAACGATTTCCTTAATCTATTGTTTTACACTTTCATCCTTCAAATATTGTTTAACTTCAATTTCATTCTTCAACTATGGTTGTCATCAATTTCGTCCTCCAAATATTATTTATAACCAATTTTGTCCTTCAACTATTATTTATCACCAAGTGCATCATTCTACTATTATTTAACACCAATTTCATCCTTATAAACTATTGCTTAACACTTATTTCGTCCTTCAACTATAATTTAAAACCAATTTTATCCTTCATATATTGTTTTACATATATTTCATCCTTCATCTATTGTTCTAACGAAATACTTCCGTTATCTATTGTTTAACTTCAATTTCCTCCTTCAACTATTGTTTAACATCAATTTCATCCTTCATCTATTGTGTGTCACCAGTTATGTCCTTCAAATATTCTTTATCACTAATTCCATCCTTCACCTATTATATAACACCAATTTCGCCCTCCAACTATTATCTAACACCAATTTCGTCCTTCAACAATTTCACCTTTCAACTTTTGGCTAACACCAACTTCGTTCTCTAACGATTGCTTATAAGAAATTTTGTCCTTCAACTTATGTTTTAACACCAATTTCAACCATCATCTATTGGTTATCGCCAATTTCATCCTTCATCTATTATTTTACATCAATTTCATCCTTCATTTATTGGTTATCACAAATTTCATCCTTCAACCATTGTTTATGGGCAATTTTATCCTTCAATTGATATTTATCACAACTTTCGTCCTTCAACTATTACTAACACCAATTTCATCCTTTAATTATTGTTTATTGTAAGTTTTGTCCTTCATGTGTTGGTCATCACCAATTTCTTCATTCAACTAAAGTTTATCACTAATTTCATCCTTCAATTATTCTTTATCACAAATTGCGTCCTAGATATATGGTTTATCATAAATTTTGTCCTTTAGCTATTGTTCATCATAAATTTCATCCTTTAAATATGATTCATCATCAATTTGTCTTCCAAATATTATTTATCACAAATTTCATCCTTTAACTATTTTTAACATCAATTTCATCATTCAACTATTGTTTATCACCAATTTTATCCTATAACTATTTCTTACACTAGTTTCATCCTCCAACTAATTTTGTGTACGTTGGTCATTTGAAAACTCGTAGGTGTACGGGATTGTGAGTAAGTAATATAATGATTAATAGAGTGTCGAATCCACGAGGTCTATGTGTTTGATCGAGTTAAAATTAATTGCAAGTAAACAAGTTGTGATTTTTCTATACTAATATTTAAATTATCAATTAAACTAGTGAAAACAAGTATTTGTATTTTTTAAATATGTGAGGTGCATTACTAAGATGTCGAATCCCCCTTATTATTTCATTTTTAGTGTAAGAATTAAAGTGACAATTTGAAATTATTCATGTTGATCAATGTTTCAATTGAAAACCTCCCTTGATAGCGATCAACTCTATTTCCCTCATATGATCTTTCTATCTCTCGATAAAAATTGTAAACATGATAAATACATTAAGAAGTGTTAGAATACTAATTACGTCCAAAGAATAATGCGGTAGTTGTAGTACAGTTTTGAGGTATCGTATCCACAGGGAGATGAAAAAATTATCAAGAATTCCAAAAGGGGATGAATTATCCTCTTCAATGTGTAGTAAAATTCAAATTTTGAAATGTGACATTAGAATCAATAACTTGAGGTAGTGAAGTGTCGAATCGATCACATCAATTATTCATTTTATAACTCTTGAAAAATTATCAAAAATGTGTAGTAAAATTCAATGTTTGAAATGTGAAATTAGAATCAATAACTTGAGATAGTGAAGCATTGGAATTTCCTCAATTGGATTGGATCGATCACGTCAATTATTCATTTTATAACTCAATTACAGAATTTTCATCCCAATTCCCTAATCGGAGGATTTATCGTGAAAACTAATTTAATTCGCAAATGTAATCCTAAAATCTAGACTTATTATATATTTGCACAATTTCATTGGAACAAGATCAAAGATCAACTATATACATCAAGCATAAAACAGTAATCAATCTGTCAATAAAGTAATATTAAGATTAAAATTTAACAATTATTTCAATCATTCAATAGAAAGAGCACGGCTAGATATATAAAGAACTTGATAAACGTTAAATCAATCTCAACAATAAGTAATTGAAATTGAAACTCAATAAATAGTTTAATTTAACAATGGAAATAGCATGACTAAATCCATGAAAAATCTTGTAAATGTCAAACCGATTTCAATATACATTAATGAAAAGAAAAGTCTAAATACTAGAATTATTCAACAATGAAAAAAACAATTACATGAATAAATTGATGCAAAATCTCGGAATCCAACGAGTTCTTTTATTGCTTCACTTTGGTTTTTAATTCCTCGTGAGTTTATTGAGCATAAAGAGATGAAAGAATGATGAATAATGAGGAATAACGCGTTCTGAGACGTTTTGGGGT